TATGGTTGTTACAAGACCTCTCCCTTCTTACAGACTTGGACGACTAGTGAAGTACACCAGTCTGACGGGACTACCTTGATTCCCTCCCATACACTACCTAGTACCTCCGTCACTCTAACCACCAATTTCCAACCCCCATCTTTGAAAACTTCAGGTGGCAAGCAATCAGGTTCGGCTGTTGTGCATCGTTTCGGGTTCAATATAGCTTTCTCAACTTCAAGGAGAGTTGGAGGACAGATATCTACTTCCCATTTTGGTTGAGAACGGATCCTCAGCTTCTGAAGCGTTGTTGTTTGTCGGTTGAACCTCGCTTCAGAGTTCGCCCAACATTTTAGCTATATATCCTTTGAGTTAAGTAGGGTACTATTTTATTCATTAATGACTCTTTTTTATTATCGTCTTTTTCATTACCCTAATTAGCCTAAATATTTTCCGCGTATTGCCTAATGCTGATGCCTTCTCCATCTCCATGATCAGGTCTGAATTGTGTTATGTGTGGGTCGTGGTCACAGACTGTAGATTATAAAGCATAGAATTGGTTTCAGTAGAGCATATGTATCTACTCGTTATCCTCATCTTAGTTGTCATACTGAACTCAGTATTTTCTTGTTCCTCTCCTCTTTTAATAATTTCTACCACTTCTGATCCTTTTTCCTTTATTTCTTTATCTTTCATCTCAGCGTTTTCTCGCTAAATGTGTTGATATGAGGCGTGGCTACTCGGATCGTTATGCAGTAATACCTTGTCCCATTTTTGTGATGTATGTCATCGTATGGTTAGCAGTATCGTCTGCGTACTCAAAACTGTGAAGTTTCTCATTTGGTTATGGATATGGGTTACTTAGCTTCCTTCTTCATAGATGTCTAAATAGTGTCACCGATGGCGTAGTTAATGAGGTGAATTACTGGTCTCTGTTACCCACCCAAGCAGCTTTCTTTTGAACCCAAACAGTTGGGACGCATTTTCGAATCCTCAGCTAACACTACCGTATTGGAACTTATCTGAGGTCCCTTAGTTGTTGATAAGATTTTTCCGACCCTGCATCCATCTGGCAAACCATTGGCTCATAATTAAAGATGGAAAGATGTTATCCTTCTTATCAGTCGTTTCTCACCGTAACTGAAGTTTTCAACCTTACAGGAAATAGATAGTAGTGGTATTGGGGATGTTACTGAGTAGTGTTGCTTCGGTCCTGGTACTCATTGTAGTAGTGACACCAACAAGATTCGTGTATGATGCCACAATGTTTCTGAATATGTGAATGTGAAACATACTTTCCAGATTGACTAATCGATATCTCACTCGCAGTGATCCACTTTGACCTTGTATCTACGTCCTTTAGATGTTTTATATTCATAGCCTAACATGTCTGTTTGCTTCCAATCTGCATGATTGTATGAACACGGCGTGTAGATGTTACACGTGGTCTTGGATTATTTGAGTCATGTGTCTCACTGAAACGTAACTTCGTAAGAGCAACTACTTTTCATGCTGAACACTATTGAAATAACTAGAAATTTCTTGCAATGAAGAATATCATAGTAAAATTAAAAATACAGTAAAAGTAGAATCGATAAAAATAGTATAGAAATTTTGTACATTTGAAAAGAGCAAAACAAATGATTGAGTACCAGGTTTGAGTTATTGGAGCTTTGTGGGATGATCAGGGAGTCAAAAATGTACTTTGAAATTAACATTGAAGTGGGATAGTTTCTTTAAAGGCTGATGTACTTTTTGGGTACACTGCAGCTGAGCAAGTGGTTCATCTTAGACTTTTAGTCTCCGGTCTCACCCACAAACCAATTTCAAAAGTTGCACTTCTGTGGTTTTCGGTCAGTCAGTCAATGTCAACATCGACCATGTCAGTACTGTTTAAAGGTTCAAGTAGCTGCACCTCACAACACTAAATCAATACACAAGGTAGCAAAATGAAAGAGAAATGGGCGAAAATGATCAAAAGTGATGGAAGTCATCAGTAAAGAAGGAAGGGAGGGCAAAATGAATGACGAAATGTGATATGACTATTGTTATGAAGATGATATATAGATGCATCTGAGCCATTTCATGTAGAGTCATTAACCGGTGATTTAAGTTCCCCTGTCTAACCCAGCCTGGGAGTTAACATCGCATTACATAACTCAAACTAACAGTCAGAGACATCATAAACTGACCACCTTCAACTCTTCATTTTAGTGTACATCCACTTCATCTAACATAGTGCATCTAGGTAAACGGTAACTGGACGTGTGTAGCACATATCCTAGCCAACTGAATCGATGAAGGTTGACTACGACTATGGTAAGTGTGTTTGACATTTGTCTCAAGACCATGGAGTCTGTGTACGTCAGTAGTCAAAAACTAAAGTTTCCCAACTTCCTTAGTTGAATCTTCCGCGTTCACCAATCTGATGGTCATAGAAGTATATTTGGGACGGAATAGTCACGACTACTTACCTTCGTGTTACCAGGATAACTTTTTAGGAGGGAAGTGATATGTGTTGACTTGAGTACCAGTAAGATGGCAACCTCGAGGTATCGGATTTAAGACATGCTACTATTCTATGAAGTTACTTGTAGTAATCTAATGTATGTGCAGGATTGCAGATCTGTTGATTAAAATCGATGATAAACACCATCCAGTTCACTTATAAATTAAAAAATGAACATCGTTATCTATCCTGGATTTTAAAAGAAAGCAGAAAATACGGTTTATATACTATCGTTTACAACAAACCATTATATATTTAGATATATTATTGGATTTTACATCATTCCATCCTGTATCAACTAAAGCAGGTTTAAGCTATGGTTTCATTGACCAAGTCAGGAGTTTGACTGATAATTTAGAAAACCAAAGTAAGGGTTTCAATCCTATCGAAGAGAAATTATCACTAGGAAACATTTTCCGATGCAAATTTAGAACATGCAACTAATGTGAAGAAAGCAAGATTTATTGGGTTCACAAATTTCAGTAGAACTTGTCAGCTGGACACGCTACATACTTGATTATATACGGTGCTGCACCCCAACCGATGTCTCAGTTTGCTGTATATTTATGTGTGTGTATCTCTGTTTTTCTGTGTTACTTATCGGTATCTATAACGTAGTATGTAGTGTATCCTGAAATTTATAAATTCACTAAGTCCTGCTTTATTCATATTCCTTGCTTTTTTCAAAGTACTACTTGATAATAAGCTCCCAGAATTTATTGAAAGGTGTTATAAAATCTCATGAGAAAGATATACTAACTGTTAGGGGTAATTGTAACGTAAGGGGATTTCAATGTCTGTGGTTTTGACATAAAAGTGGGAAACACCTGGGATTCTATTTTCTGTTCTTCACAAAGCCTGGATCGAAGTGCAGTCGTCAGCTATCGTACTACGTTGTAAAGGTAAGTTTAATATTCCTGTCTGGTCTCTGTGGTTTCACAGGAGTTGTTTTGGTTGACTTTACTGAAAATCGATCGTAATAGAACTTAACCGTTTTTCTCTAAATCCTGAATATCGTATCGGACGAAATGAAAATAAAATGCAACTCAGCCACACGCGCACTCGTGCAGTAGGCGATAGCCACGTTTGTTGTATAAGGACTACCTGGTTGTCCAGATGTTATTAGGTGGAGCTGGGTTTGAACACATGCTCTTTAAGCTTGCTACGTCCTTGTGTATTTTAGTCGGGGTTGAGGTTGAATTCTACTGGCATTCGACTATCGATCATTGCACTATGGGTTCATTACATCAACTTCAGCAAAGGCTGTTAAGTCGTATCGTAAATCGTCTTACATCGGATGTGCTGATAATTAAGCACACGAGTTCCTTATTTACAGGCGTTACACCTTGTTTTTTCTTAGTCTTGTTAGTTCTGTTTGTTTTCTCAAATTTTACTGTTACAAACTGTGGAAATCAAAAGAATGTCTATTTACAAAAGGTTTCATGTTCTTACTTGTTTGTTGAGTGTTTAAGTATTACTTCACCTATTTACAATCAGTTTGATAATCGTTGAATTATTTCAGATAAATCAGTATAAAAGCTGAAATTGGGTAGTGTGGTGTAATATAGTTCCTCCTTAGTTTGTTAAGTGGACGTAGTACACAATGAAGCCATTCTATCTGCTACTTTTCTTTGTAGAATAAATTGTGTCCCGAGTGATATGTTTAGCAAACGATATTTTCAAGGCGTCCTATATATGATGACTAGAATAACATGGAATTCTGAAGAACAGCATTTTGTGTATGACAAAAATAGAGTCACTAATGCTTAAGTTGGAAAGATGCTATAGCACCTGTAGACGCACTCAATAGGTAAGCACATTATAGGAACAGGTCACAAGATTGACCCCAAAACAGCCTTTAGACCATTTTATAAAAGCCATCAAGATCGTATACTTAGGTTCATTGAAGCCTTATCTATATGAAGGTTCAAACCCCTTTTGTGTATGAACTTGTGTACCGAAACAGTCCTTTTCCACTGATTTTGGAATTCACTCTATCCAAATCTTCTTCACACCAACACTTGTCTAGAAGGAATTGTATCTGAAAACTGTTTTGGGATTTGTCATTTTATGGTGACAATCGTGGAGAAAGATAATTACCATTTGCTTTTTAATAAAGTCATCAATCTCAACCTGTAACTTTATGGATCCATTTCAACTTTACTACTAAGATTGTTATAAGTAGTTAAATTTGACTTCGGAATTTATTGGAGTTATGAAAGTCGAGTTCCAGAATAATATGTTTCTTTGCGGTCAGTTGAGATCCACCACTATCTACACATTTTCGGGACAAGGAAGTTGCACTGGAGTCTTATTGTTGTCTTTTTTGTTCAGCTTCGAAAGTATTTCAAGAACCTGCTTCTGAAGTTAGGTAACTGTGTTCACATTCGTTGTAAATCATAAAACTAATGTTGTTTGCCAGTAAATTTAATTCCGACATGTAGACATAATTTTTTGGATGCTGATTACTAAAATAATAAATTCATGATCATTCTTTCGAAATCTGTTTCAGTCCATTTCGTATTGTCAGTGATTGTGGAGCAGCGTTTGCTATGGGGACAATCGGTGGTAGTTTAGTTCATTCCTATAAAGGCTACCGTAACGCCCCTTCGGGTTATACAAAGAAGCTAGTAAGCGCAATGGTCAACAGTCGTCAGCGTGCACCACTGGTGGGAGGAGCTTTTGCTATTTGGGGTGGGATGTTCACAGCAGTCGATTGCACACTAGTTTTCGCTCGTCAAAAAGAGGATCCATGGAATTCAATCACAAGTGGGGCAATAACTGGGGCTGTTTTAGCTATTCGTCATGGCCCAGCAGCTATGGTTGGTCAAGCTGTAGTTGGTGGTGTAATATTGGCAATTATTGAAGGTCTTGGAATTATGATGAATAGATTCGCTCCAATGCTCATGCGTAAGTGTAATTATTAAATTTTGAATGGATGTTTTAAATTCCTATTTTATAATTTTGTGAACTCAGACACCTGTGGTGTGCACCAAAGCACAGGAAAAGTGACAATGCCATGCTATGTGATGCACTTTTCAAGCAAATGAGCTTCGGAAAAGCAAATTGTCTTTTCCCATAAATTTTGGAACTAAACGTTCGGAAAGTTAGCTATCGATTGTGTTAAAAAAGCCATTATGAATAGTAATGGTATTTGTATCAAAATACTGTTGACCAACTTTGAAGCTTTTTTTTATAGTTATCTCGAAATCATCCATCACGTCGCAAATTTGCTTTCTGTGAAATGCATAGATGTATAAAATCTTGACCCTCAGGATGTTGTATTTTTGTATCAGTAGAGTCATTCACTTGTTTCTGCTGTCACTTTCTCTGCATTTTTCAGCTTGATTTTCGACCCTTAACAGTTTAACATTGTAATCGTTGCCTAATAGGCCTGTTCATTCTGCGACACTGCTGCAAAATATTCACTATTGTAAATCAGTATGCACAAATATGCATTGATTCTTTCACTTTATGAGGAATCGTTTTGAGAGAGGAAAAACTTCTTAAAACGTTGGATATTTCACTTGAAACTAATTATTCTGAAGAAGTAGGTTATTGAGAAACATCAGGCAACATGCTGTAGACTATAGATAATGAAGGGTTTTTGTAATGATGGGTACTGTTATAAAAGTGTTCTTCAAACTGGTATTTCTTGGTGCAGTGGATTCAGTTAGATTTTAGTTATCATCACTGCCACCAATCTTTAACGCGGATTGATGATGCATCATTGAACAAGTGAAGTTGCTTATTTTTAATAAACCCATTACTCAGTATACACAAATTCTTAGAGATTGTCAACCGTAAGCCAGTCCAACTGACAACATACAGCCCTATATGTGTAAGTCTTTCCCAACTCATTAGGTTTCAAGTGTATATTTAGCAGCTGTTGTTCTCACCTAAGCTGTACAACATCCCTGTAGATTCAGTCCTGTGTGATATCACTATAAAATCTGCTATGGAAGTTAGTTTATGTCTGTATTTCCTCGCTAGCTTTTAGCAGCGGCTTCACCCCATGGTCTTACATTTATTGACTGAGGTGCTTAATCCTTAAGTAAATAATCTTATTGCTTGTCATTCGATTTCAGTTTATGTTGTTTGACAAAAGGTTGATTTCGCTCATCATTCAATATCGGCTATTCCTTAAACATTGGTAGGGAAAATTAGCCCTGCAATAATCAGTAGCATGTGGTTAAGTAGCTTGATAATAACAATTCCGTTCTTATGTATTTAATTTTGTATGAGAGCTATTAGCTTGCGGATGCTACCAGTTCGGTAAATAGTGAAATAGTATGAGATTTTAGATGCTAATGTTCGTTTAGCGCCAATAAAGAACGTTTTACTGACTAACAATGATATACTTTTCTACCAAGAATAACTTCTTCAGGAAGTTATCCTTATCCGTGTAAACTGCATAGTACGCTGATTACATCGTTAGTGGTTTTAATTTGGACGAATATGTTTATTGGTGCCAGGTTTCGAATTATCGGTCTTTAGACTAGCAGCTAGGCCTTTTAGTAACCGAGCTACGATTATATATGTAATATTTTTACATTTCTACTGCATTTATTATAGGTGTGTTATTGTGAAACGTGCTATCTTAAGCCAGTGGGCTTTTAAAGAGGCTTGCACTTCTGTCTTTTTTTATTAGAACTCAAGTTACCATTCTAATCCCTGGGAATAAGTTCTTATAATTATCATTACTGTTCTCAATACAGCTTGATAGAATTGGTCTAGACAATTCAACGGTCGTCATTAGTTTCAAACATGCACAGGGTCTTGGAAACGACTTAGAACGTTGAGAAATCAAACTAAGTCATTTTGAAGGATTTTATTGATAGCACATACTCATTCTCATTAGTTTGTGAGTTTCCACGTTTCGAAGGATCTCGTGTGAGAACAAACACTTTCTTTGAGATTTCTGCTCACACAACCTTTCTTATTGCCAAAAATGTGTAGATTTCGATTTTTATTGGTCATCTACGTGATGAAATGAACAGGAGCTAGTTTTCAGATTTGTATTTATCATGGACTGACATCAGTTGGAGAACATTAGAAACCTGGGAGCACTGGACAGCTGTTTCGTCCTAGTGTAGGACTCCGTAGCAGTGCGCACCCATGACCCCACCTCGTCAGGGCTCGAACCCAAGACCTTCAGGTCCTGTGGCCTGCACGTTACCATTGATCCACTGGGTCGGAATGACAAGTATTTTCGCGGAATAATTATTCTTACGGGAAGCTGGTACACCTTTTTGTTATTTGTAATCTTATTTATGTGTATGTGGACAACTAGTTTACTCGCTTGCGGGTAAGCTTATTAACTGGACGGATGTTGAGATTTGCAGATACGGTAGATTACGGACGCCGAATGAAAGAAATACAACGATTGACAATTCGCTTAGATAACACAAGGAAGGAAGCAGCACTGAACTGAAAAATGTTTAGTTTAGTCGGAAGAATATGGAAATAGTGTTTGTATACGGTGTGAATGTCACTGAGGCAGATCGATAAAGTAGTATATTAAAAATGTAAAGACAATTGAAATGAAGAATATACACGAGGCGGAAAAAAGGTATGAACCAGATAAATTTGAATTTCTATCACGTAAATTCTATGAATTTGAGGCATAAACCATTCATTTTCAGGGATCTTACATCCCCAACACAAACTGTTTAAACCACCTAAATCCGATCAGGTGATTCGAACAAATTAGTTAAGCGATTTGTTTGTCATAAGCAAAGTTTACAGTCTGTCTTGACATATCTTCCAACCTTGTCTCGAGTGTATTCCACCAGAAAACAGGTATCTTTCAAATATAACGATTTAAAAATAGCTTTTATCACAATGTACAATTCAAAGAGTAAATAAATAATTCATCTCTAAGATTATTCATTACGTTGTTCATGTTTTTTATGGTTGGTTCAGCTAGTGTCAATTTGTAGTAGTGGAATGTATCTTCATTTCTTAGAAGCATCTAAATTACTGATGATAATTGAAAAGAATATTGTCATATCTTGACATCTAGTTTTCTACTCTCATATTATTCATTTCTTACAAAAATAACAAATGAACATTATCTGGAAAGATGCATTGACTTTCATTTTATTCTTTGCCCATGTATCTCATCAGTAGGAATATAAGAGATGGGAATTTCTACGGTTGGTTGTTTTCATTTCCATTCTCTTCTCCTATCTTAATTTGCCTTGTTTCTTTTGTTCAACTTGTAAAAATTCTTTTCAACTAATAATCAGTTGCTTCAACCAGGTTAGGTTACTGATTGTTTTTTTGCCTTTTTCATTTATTGCCTTGTTTCTTTCACTCTGTATAGGTGTGTGTGTGTGTGTGTGTTATCATGTTCATTTGACAGAAACTACTGCATAATTATTAGTATTATTATTATTATTGTGATGATGATGATGATGAGGAGGAGGATGTTCATCTGCCACTTAGACAACGACAAGTACATGATATTGTTCTTGGATGTTTTTTTGCATTCAAACAATACAACTCAGAAAAACTAAAGAAGACAGCTGTTAAAAGCGCTTTTGTTTTAGAAAGCAACACAAAGAGAATTCGACTAGAAGAAATATACTTCTGTTGTTAAAAATGTAGTTATGTTATTGTGCATAATTCTCATCAACTTCAATATACACAATATCTTGTCGATGATGGTGGTGTTATTTGTTAGTTGCTTACATTGGTCACCTTCGTGATTATATTTCATAGGAAAAAGAAAGAAGAAACAGATTTTATAATTCATTCTGTCAAACCTTATAGAATTTTACATCGTATGACTTTTTTGTAATGATGATTGTAGTATATTTGATTGGCTATTTGACTAATTTTATTAATTTCGTCAATCAAGGCATAATCTTAACTTTGTGTTTATTAATATTATTATTTGATTTTTAATGCATACATTTTTACAAGCTTGTAAGAAGATGAAGAAAGTTATTTTTCATTTTCAACCTTAAAAAAAGAGTATGTATGATTTACATACAATTTCAACTGTAATTTTCTGCTTTCAAAAAAGTGATCGGTGTGGTGGATCTTTTGACGCATAGTAGCAGATGATATAAAGGTAACGGCTTTTTGACTGTTTTCGTCAAGGCATTGACTAGCAAAATCAACGTAGAATCTTGCATACAAATGCATCGGCTTAAGCTGTTACATTTCACAATAGTACTCAAAGAACAGGTGAACAGAAAAAGACTGATATCAAAGTAGGCAAAGTTATGTAAGAGAATAAACAATCGAAAGATAAAGGTTAGAGTAGATATTCAAGCTTTAGGTGTCAATGAATGAACTACATCTACACCACTGCGACAGATTTTCAGCCATGTCACCAATAGTCGTCAACCACTTGATTCCTATCATCTCAGGGACCCCAGTCAAGCAGTCTTCGTCTCCTCCCTACGACTCAGGCCAACATTAAAAGACTTGTTAGACTGGTACCACCTCTTGGTCCAGTCATCCTGAATCCGCTTCCAACGAGAAAATATTGGAAATAAACTAAAAACATGTTGCAGCTGATATTTATCAAATGTTTTCTATGATAAGTGATTTCTTGAGTATTGCGTCTAGTTTCTAACCCCTTACGTAACTTAGCTCGATAGTTATAAATTAGTAAATTATCACTGCCTGTGAGTTGGAATAATCTAAGCAGAATTGATCGACATCATTGGTTGGATACATTCAAGTGTTACTTTTTTTCAAAATTCATTCAAACGATACAATTCTACACTCTTTTATTCCCCATATATTGAAATGATGAACTCAGTGGAAAATTCAGCTAAGACTCTGTTACCGAATTCATAAATTGGCATAAGACTTAAAAATACGCTTATAATTAGATACTACATGTACGGTTTTTCAACCGAAGTGATATTCATGCATGATAATAATTATACAAGAGGTGGCTCGACATTATATATATATATATATATATATATATATATATATATATATATATATATATATATATATATATATATATATATATATATATCATTTTATTTTGTAAATATGCCAGTTCGTAGTATTCGAAAATTTGGCTTCATATCGGTGCATCATAAAATATCTTGGATGCTTGCAATGAAAATGTTTATTTTCTTCTCAGATCTACCTGACAAGCGATCCAATTAGACTTCAGTGCCTTTAGTGCCTATTTTTAGGAATTCATGATTGACTGTATGTTTCAATTTTCTATTTTAGTGTTGATGACCATATATTTCTTTTGTATTCTAGAACCTCCACCTGAAGCTTTACCAGACCAACAAAATGATCAGTCATCAGGTCCAGGTAGCTCTGCTGGTACTGGTGTTAGTGGATTTTTCAATTTATTTGGTTCTAATACTTCACATCCATCTTCTGAATCGAATAGCACAGAATCTCATGGTGGAGTATCATCAAAATCTGCGTTTTTGTTACAATAAACTGACTATAAGTTTGCAGTACGATTTAACAGTAGTTTTTTTTTTTGTTTTACATACATCTCAGTCGTGCCTGTGTATATAAGAACATATTAGTGCATTCAATGAAACTAATCTTCATAGTTGTTCAGAATTTTCCTTCACTTTCATCTCGGTTATACAATTAGGCAGAGTTGTTCTTATTAAGTCATAATAAAGGAGGACTCATTTCTTTTGGTTTACCAAACTGTATTCAAAATGCTTCCAAAGTTTTCCTCTTTTTTAATTTAACCTTACTTGCCACTGTTTGTACCTAGTCTGTTGTCTCTGCTTCTACCTTTCTGCTAGGCTGGGTTATTTTTATTGAATAAATATGTTAGTATCATTTCTGTGTCGTTTTGATTTGATATTTGACTGTTCCATTAATTCTTCATTGTGAATGTTTCCATATTTTACTTTTCTACTTCTACTGAAGTTATATATTCTTTTTTGGTAGAACCGTAGAACGACAGTTATTTTATGAATTCTTGCTTTATTTTTTTTCTCCACTGACGGACTTCTGTAATTATTGGTTGATAATTTGTATCCTTTTTTCGTTGTGTTTTGTTCTCTGAGCTGGGTGGTTTAATCGTGAAGCTATCAACTTCAATCTGAAGTTGAAGTTAGTGCTGATGATGTTGTTTAGGAAGACAATAAAAGACTCCCGATTAAACCATTCAGCTCAGAGAACACAACACAACCAAGATCATCCACCTGAGTTACAAATATTCCCCGCCATTTCAAAAGCAAACCAGGGTAACACGCTCCGCGTTGCTTGGAGATGAGAGGAATTCTCTAAGGAGGCGAGTTCCAACTATTCTTTCTGTATGAGTGCCTACGTCAGTATGTTCTGCCGGAGAGGATTTGCATCCTTACCAGACATAGTGGTGCAGTATGGTCGTCGACTTGAAGATATGACCTGCTTACTTACAATCTGTCTGGAATATGTTTATTTTTGAACATTTTGTACATTTGGGGCTGCTAAAGGAAACGTAATATGCATAGCAATAGCAGTTTACTAGTCCCGTACAAGTTTATGCACTAGGCTATAAGTCATACCTATTAAGGGTTTGTTATATTATCCAGTCATCTAGAGTGTGGTTGGTAGGGTTGGGAGCTATGCGTGAGTCATAGTAGGAATCTGTCGTATAGGTTGTAACAGGATTTTTTCTTCCTCTTGTTCTATGTTAAGATAATTTCTCGGTACTTCTAACCTGTTGATGCTACTAGTGAAGTTTGCCAGCTAGCTGTTGTATTGATGTTGAAATTATCTGTAAGTTCACTGGTTTTACCATTCAATCTTCAGCCAGTGAGTTATGGGTTCAAACCTTGTTCTATCTACCGTGATTCTACCAAGCAGGAAGTCTCAGTAATTTTAATCCATTAGGTGTGACTGAATTCTGTATATATAGATGCTAGATCTGTAGCTCATTGGTTTAATCCGTTGACGTGCAACCAGTGGCTTTCGAGTTCAAACACTGTTCTACCTTCCAAGGTTGGAGCAGCCAAGTGGTATTGTTAAGCTTCACACGTAAGGTGTAACTCATTGCCTTCTCCCCGAAGGTGCAGAACACATAGGTTGCTGAGCGTATTTCAATACATAGATGCTGAGTTACATTTAGGTATTGAGAACTAACAAAGCACTTGGTAAGTGCATTGATTAATATGGTAATTCATTTCACTTCTTTGTGTTTGTACTAACCTTGCCCCTCATATTGCTGAATTGAAAGATAACGTGTGGTTAAGTGGTGTGCTTTTAATTGAAAAGAACAACATACTCTTGAGTCCTTTTACTGTGAAATGAGATGAAGTAAGGAATGTAAGCATAATTTTTTTTTATACGAGTATAGGTGTCATGGATTTTTTAAATTCTTGTTCTTCACTGTCTTCAATGAAAATCACCTAGTTGCAATGTTTCTTATAGCACATGTGATCTTGTAGTTTGTTCATTTCATTGATGACTGTGTTAATCACCATCTTTGTTAATTTACTGAAGAACTGGAGGTTAATTACTAATATTTTCTAGATAATTTTATCGCCTACCATCCATCGCTGCAAGAATTCATAAAGAGTGTATACTACACCTGTTTTGCCAACCCCATTGCTATCTTATGATAATCCATCGTTTCACATCTGTTAATGATAATATAGAGCTTTACTTAGTAGACTATTAATTAGATCTAATGTTAGGAGACTTTAAGATACGGCTTTTATAACTGTTGATCAGTTTCACTTTTAAAAGTATTTACACTGATATTTGTGATTAACATCAAAGTGTCATTTGAACAGAGATCACGGAAAGCGTATCTTAAACTGATGGGTACCTAGAATTATTCTTCTGTATCCTTTGTTGGTTTGATGACTTTGACTACTTAGTTGAATAATATTGTAAATCAAAAGAATTTCAGTTTATTATTGAAATAAGTCATTACTTTTACAAGCTGGTATTGATGAAAGCATCTGTGATAGAAAATGAATAAAAAGTCGTTGTTTAGATCTAATTTAGCTAGTGAAGTTTCCACACGTGTTATCTAGACTTTTATTCTCTCTCCTTATGTTGAAAATCTTGCTTTAGAATGTAACTTTAATTACTGAAGTCTATTGTAGTGTCCAGTCATTTCAAATACAGAATTACTATCATCTCACACTGACTGAATGACATAAAATATATGTGGATTACTCAGGTAACTCAAATTGTAAGAGAGCAGTTATTTCTAAAGTAAATTTTGATTTTCTTCAACAATTTCTGTTGTGTCATAAATATGACTCTTCAATGTCATATCAGCATGAAATCTCATTTGGAAACTAGATTTAAACAAACTTTATATTTCTGTTACTGCATGACATTCAAATATGTTTTCCTCGAAACTAATGTTAACCTTAAGATGACAGTTATGCTTATTTTCAAGTAGTTTTCATTGCAGTTAACATCAGTTGAAGAAAAAACTGAAAACATGGGAGCATTTGTTAGCTTTTTTGTCCAGGTTTTTTCAAGCATTTCAGCAATGTCATACCCATGACTCTTAGAGGGATCGAATCGAGGGCCGTCAGATTTTTTTTATGGTGAGCTTCTTTCTCATCGAGAGCCAAAATAAATTAAAAAATGACTTTTATTCTGACTTCAGGGTTCATTGATTAGTCAACCTTGATTAGTTCTTATATCGTACCATTCTACAAGACTATCGGCAAACACCTACTAAGGTGACTCTAAAACCACAAATTCCAAACAGAACTTGTGAGACTAAAGTAAGAACGGATTCTAGTTAGCAATACAAAGGAACAATTACATGATACCATGGACCACTTGATGGTGAAAAATGTCAACTAATTTATTTTCATTTTATCGACTGTCGTGTCGCATGTAAAAAACTTGTATACTCTGCGTTCAACTGTGACTTAAGTCGATAATCTCTAGTTTTGTGAAGCCCGAAATTAAAATAAGTAGCCTTCCATTGATTCAGAGTATCAGAATTCCCTTCTTTGATGTCAATTCTGCTGGTTATCATGAAAATTGACTTAAGAGCTTCTTGTTTAGGTGTATGCGAAGTGAGTAGTATAATACTTCCGGCTAAGTCATCACTTAAGTGATTCACGCTGATGTTTCCTGCTGCATACCAAAGACTGAATTCGTAAAAGTGGTTTCAATTTAATGTGTAACAGAATAGTCTAATCGTGCAAAAATTATTTTGCATTACCATATGTTACTTTATTGCGTCACACTAATTTAGATTTTGAGTAGACGTTTGGTTTGCATATTCTAGCGATGAAGATATTCGGGCATCGAATAGGGGGGCATTTCCCTACACTTCATGTCTATTATAATCCTGAGAACATAGATTTTAGAATGAAATGATACTTTCTGATTTCTTACCAACTGCGTACAGCCTAAAGTTCCTCACAAGGAATTCATAGATAGAGAGTATGCTTTTAATCAATCGCTAGAGAAATCAATGTTCGAAATCCAGTGATTATATTTAGATAGTGAGTTGAAGAAACATATTAGAGCAAGAATTACAAACCTTACTGAAAAACGATTCTTAATAACATCTGATCAGATAGATAACTTTACAGCTATGTGGTGAAAGGGTTAAATAAGTAGAAATATGAAAGAGGTTTGCTTACTAGAAAGCTTCAAAATAATTGTAATAAAGGTTTGTAGATAAGAGATGATTCACCCAAAGTATTGTTCAATTACCACAGTAAGGTGAAGTTAAAATGTATTTGCTTTTTGCGTTTAATGGTTAGGTGGAAAATATCCAACTAAACGAGTTTTCAAAAGTCTAGTGAACTCACCAGTTTTTCAGTAATGTAATAATTCCCATTGTAACATTAAGAGCAGGATGTTCAGCGAAAACATTTTCCTCAGCTAATTTATTGCCAAGCTGTACATTTGTATATATATATATAAAATATTATATTATATTTGAAAAATTGAATCCGATGGGGAAATTTCGACAATGAATAATACTACTACTTGTAGTGCACCTTCCTGGCACCAAAATATAACTAAGGCTAAAATAAATAGTTAAATTAAATTAACTAAATAAATCTCTAGCTTGCCTCCGGATGCTTAGGGTGTTTTAAGTTTTGTTTTAACGAGCATGCATCCGAGCAGGCTTGGACGCCATTTTTGCGCTCCATTGTGCTGATCACCACGCACGTACTCCGAGTCCCTAGTTCAGCCTTACAAGCCAGATAAGTTGATTAAACTTTTCCCCCACTCATTATTATTACATTTACTTTAATTAAATACATATCTCCTTCAAATACATTGCGTATCAGTTCTTTTGATTTGTGTTTTGTTATCAGTACTTACACGTTAGGTAAAGTACTGGTTAAGCAGGTACTAGAGCACATCAAGTTAAGTAGGGTTGATCAAACGTTACGGAATTGTAACACGCATCCCTACATACTAATGAGAATAATACCTATTATGTTAGTTAAGTTGTGAATGATAAAGTCAATCATATAATACTAGTAATAAT